AACTCCATCCAATCCAGTTAAATAGTGGGCAAAAGACTTGAACAGACACTTCTCCAAGGAGGACATACAGAGGGCCCAGAGACATATGAAAAGATGCTCAGAATCACTAGCCATCAGAGAGATGCAAATTAAAACTGCAAAGAGATACAACTTCACACTGGTGAGAACGGCCATCACAAACAATTCAACAAACAAGTGTTGGAGACAATGTAGAGAAAAGGGAACCCTAGTACACTGTTGGTGGGAATTCAGACTGGTGCAGCCACTGAGAAAAGCAGTATGGAATTTCCTCAGAAAACTAAAAATAAAACTACCTTTTGACCCAGCAATTCCACTGCTGTGATTATACCCTAAGAACTCTGAAACACCAACCCAAAAGAACCTATGCACCCCAATGTTCATAGCACCACAATTTACTATAGCCAAGTGTTGGGAGCAACCTAAGTGCCCATCAGTAAATTAGTGGATCAAAAAACTATGGTACATTTACACAATGGAATTCTACACAGCAGAGAGAAAGAAGGAGCTCCTACCCTTTGCAACAGCATGGATGAAACTGGAGAGCATTATGCCAAGTGAAATAAGCCAGGCAGTCAGGGACAAATATCATATGATCTCACCTTTAACAGGAACCTAATCAACAAAAAAAGCAAGCAAAATATAACCAGAGACATTGAAATTAAGAACAGCCTGACAGTAACCACAGGAGAGGTGGGAGGGTATAATGGGGTGAAGGGTTTTCAGAAACAACTATGAAGGACACATGGACAAAACCAAGCGTGGGCGGGGGAAGGTGGAAGCAAGGGAGGGAGGTGAGATTGGTTGGGGTTGGGTGGGGAAGTAGTCGGGGGTAAATACAGACAACTGTAATTGAACAACAATGAAATAGTTTAAAAATTAAAAAAACCTTTTTATGAATCAGTATGTATCTGAATAGCATAACAATTAAATAAAGACCTTGGGAGAATTGATGCTTTGTAATAAAATAGAATTATACATTTGGAAGCATAGTACACATAAGTGTTTGTTGCTTTTAGAATTCATTCTTGCCCATAAAATTTCTGAAGGAAACTCAGTGGCCCTAGCTCTAGTGCAAATTCATTTGTTCACATCATTACTGCTAATTAAAGATTAAAATATTTCCCATTAAACCTGGTAGCTGTTTTTATTTAAAGAGAAGTTGACTTTCTCCATTTTATGTCTGGAAATTACTCACGATGTATAAATCAGAAATAATGACAATTAAGTAAGAACTTCAAGTCCTATTCACCCTGTGAGAGTACAGCTGTGATGTCTTTCAGAGATTTGTGACAGCTCAGCCCTAAGTACAAGCTCTATAAAATGATGGGCTTTGAAATGCTGGCCAGGGTAGAGTGAAAAGCAGCTGCTGGTGATAATACCAGACCCTCAGCCAGTACCAAGTTCTGGTTCAGGTCTAAGGACAAAGAACTTGTGGAGCCTTTCCTGGCCTCTCAGGACTTCAGCACCTGCCAGCTCCAGTATTCTGCAGGACAGAAGGCTCACGGGGAGCACTCCTAGGCAAGAGATGGAAACCAAGAGGAACCACCAGCTCCTCCTGTTCCTGATCCTTCCCAGCGTGCTCTTCTGACAAACAGTGGCTTCCTTTGGGAGCCCCTTCTGCTGTGGGGAATGATGTCTTGGAAGATAGGGACCAATCAAATACTAGTCAGATGCAGTCTTCACTGACATCTATTCCTGCATTCAAGAACAAATGGCTGCGAAGAAATTTTTGACCTCACTGACTGGAGATGCAAATAATCAGGGTAAACCTAAAGTGGAGGAGTCACAAAGTTGATAAAAAAAGAACTCTTTGGAGCAAAGCTGATAAAAAGTTTTCAGTGAATTCTAGAAGAAAAATGATTAGGTGAAGTAGTTTTATTTTGATTTCTAGAGAAGTAATTCAAGCAAACATCTTCAAATAAAATAAATTAAATGAAAAACAAATGAAATGCTATTTTGTTAAAAAAAAAAAAGAATTTATCAGTTTGCCATGGCTGGTGTGACTCAGTGGTCTGAGTTATTTAGTCAGAGGCACTAAATATGGAGGGATATGCAAAAAATAGGTATAATTTTGCTTCATTCACAATGGATGGTTACTGTTGCCTTGGCTGTCGTCATTTTATTTGGCAATCTAAGGGAAAAGAGGTCAGTGCCCCTGACTCAATAGCCAGGTATTGCATGTTTTACAAATCCTTGCGGCACACCAGTTGGAAATCGCTGCTCTGTCCAGTTTGAATTAGAGCTTTCTGCAACTCTTGTACATTTTTCCAAAGGCAAACAAAACAAAACAAAACAAAAAAAACAACCCCCACCCCCCCACCCCCCCACCCCCCGCCCTGAGTTCTTTTTAATTCCTAACTATGCCCTAAAGATGGCAGTGTTTCACGATAAACCACTGTGGCAGGTAAAGAAAACTCCAAAAGTTTCTTATGCTCTGTAACTGTAACACTTGCAAAATTTCACACAGGACTGTAGAAGCTGACAAGTCGTAACCAAAGCAACGGCCAGTTACTCAAGGTCGTACACAGACTCCCATGATAAGTTCCTGTGCTCTGTGACTTCTGCAAATTCCTCCTGCGTTTTCTCTTTGTCTCCCATATAAGGTAGCTGGACCTAACTTCCGCATTCGGCTTCTGTAACCTTGCTTCGCCACGTAGGTAGGAAGCCCGGGACTATTTAAACCCCGGGAGAGTGAGGATCGGTGCTCAGAGGATTTGGATGTTAACCACCCCCTCTGGGCCCCCGGGTAATAAAGTTTGTGCTTCATTATCTCCCCGTGTGTGGGTGGATTTTCCACAACACCACAAACCAACAAGTTTCCTTTTCCCTGGGAACCACAGTGAGCAGCCAATGAGGTCAGTGTTATATTTTGTAACCTGCAAATACTGATTCTTCTTAGGGTACAAATTGCTTTACCTACCTAGTCAGGAGATTCTTTCTCTTTCAACATACATGTCAGCTGAACACAGGACCCACTCCCAGAGCAACAATATGCCAAATAAAGTTCCTACCCCCCTCATCACCCTGTGCACGGAAATGATGTACCAGACTACTCACTGCAAATTTTACGAAATCATAACCAAAGAAAAGGAAAAATTGGGAATGCTCTATGGTCAGCAGTATCCAGGGTGTGGATTTGTTCTAACAGGTGGTCCTAATGGATGTGGGGTGCCTCAAAAGAAACCATGTGTTTGCTCACAGGCCACTTTGCATGCCTTACAAAAACAAGCCTGCTTATCTCCCACAATGGCCCTACGAAGCAGCGATCGTGATACCCACCTCACAAATGAGGAATAGGAACAATGGGAAGTCCTTACAGCTCCTCATGGCAGAGCAGAGATTCAAAGCCAGGTGAGGGCTCTGGACAGGATTCCTGAAACACTAAGACAAAGAAAACTTTGCAGGTGGCTGGCAAAACCAGAAACTGAACCAGCCAAGTCCACTTGAGGGTAGGGGAATTCATTAAACATGGAGGCCCAGACCCTGCCCCAGAGGTGCTCACTGAGGGGGCCAAGGTGTGGCCTAGGAAGATGCCCCTCTTGCTAACAGGTGGAACTCTCTGATGAGCAGCCCCTCTAACATTCAAGACTCAGAATGAAGCTTCAGGACCCTGTGGACAAACACCATCACTCCAGGCAAGGGCCCCAGGGACCCTGTTAAAAGCTGCACTGATGTCACTTGGCCAGGAGTTTGAGAAGCCTAAGTGGCCCCTCTGGACAAACAGACCACCGACCCACATTCTCATCCTGAGATTCAAGCATCCCTTGAGAGTCTTTTCTGGGGAGAAAAATGTTTTTATTTTCCAAGAGGTTCCTATTAAATTTCATCAACCCGGGGAGGCATAATTCAAGCTACTGCCACTCCCAATTAGCAGTGGCATCAATTTCTTGGAGAACAGGAAACTTGGAGGGTTTTGGGGGTGTAGGGAGGACATCTTGGGAGGATCCTGAGGAATAAGCCTTACCTCAGTTGATCTACACTGCATTCATATGAAGTAGGTTTATCATCTTCATTCATAGATGGATGAAGTGAGAAGTTCAGGTGACTATTGTAGGATTTGATCCCCAGCTGCTGCACACCGTCTGGTATCCAGCTCTCCTCGGTCCTTCCCCTCTCCTACACCATGCTGACTTGGCTCATCCATGTCACTTCCTTTGGGCACTGGGACCATAGCAAACACGAGTGGAACGTTGGAAAGTGCTTGCACATTTGGAGCTTGCTCTCTTGTCCAGGGATAAGCTGCAACCCCCATCATTTGAACAAGTCCCAGCTTGCCTCCTGGAAGATGAGTCCCCCCTCACCCCACCTCATAAGAGGCCTGACACAGCAGGGAAACTGTGAAGAACTGCCTCACCAGCACATAGAACTGAGGAATAAATGTGTGCTGTTCTAAGCCACTAAGTTTTGGGACTGTTTGTTACACAGCAACAACCAACATGAGAAATTATGTGACTCATGCAAAGTCACACAGGCTGCTGAAGGCAGGGCGTCTGTCTCCTCACCCATAGCACTCTGTATTCACCTCAAGGAAGGCTGTTCAAAATCCTCCTGCAGCCTGCAGTCCCCTGCTGGCCACCCACCTTGGGGAGAGGTCCATGCTCCCAGGATGGTGTGTAAAATATTTAGCATGTAAGTCTCTAGCATGTTGAAATGGAGCAAGATCCTAGAGGTTCCTGTTATTCCTGGAATGAGCCCTAGTGCTTGGATCTCAGCAGCTCTAGGGTCACTGAGGGAGCAGTTATATACCAACTAGAATGGACAGTTTGTTACTTAAACCACCAGTCCAACTGTACAAGGTGAGTACCAGTGCATCGCCAGCCCCACTGGTGACAATATTTGACCTCCCAGTTCATGGCTTTGAAGAATCTAGAAGTTTGTCCCACAACTTCCTGAAAGATTTCCCCTAACACAGCCCACCCCACAGCCACACTGCCACATGGTTCACAGGTCCTTGTTCGGACACCACACAAAAACAAGACTCTTCTCAGATAATTTATTCAGAATTTTCATATAAACAGGTAATTACCCCATGTTTTACATGCAACACAATTTCAAACCCCCCACCCTCACCCAAAAAAAGGCATGTTCTGTATATGGCATTACTTGGCTTTTGTAGGAAAACATCGAAAATTATAACTGAGCTACTGGTGTGTTTTGTCTTTCCAAGTTGTTCTCCACAGAAGCCAAGGCACATTCGATCCTGAAAGGCTGAGGGTGCACAGGTGTCTGCTGCTGACACACGGGGCCAAGGCCACCCCCACCCAGACACACACGGTCGGAGGACCTGGCCGATCCTCAGTGTGCGTGTGGACACACACTTGCTTGGGGGACTACTCCTTCCTTCTCACACGGAACCAAGAGCCTCAGATTTATGATCTGGTTCCTAACAAGCATGTTTAGGGCCCACGCCCAAATAAAAATCTGGCCGGAGGTTGGTTCTGGACCTTGACGGGTATCAGGTGACAGCAAGTGGAAAAAGTCATTGTCCCCTCTGTTTCTGGGGGGACCCTAAGGAAACATTTGCCTTCAGTCGAAGCCCCTGAAACTTATTTTGCATGTTTGAAAAGAACACATGCCAATCAGTTCTTTCCATTCCCAACCTCACCTCTGGTGTAAATCAATATTCTGAAGAACATTCTGGAAGGTTTTCTGAAAGGACACCATTCTACATGCACCATTTATGTACAATCATCATTTCCCCATTCCTCACCCCCAACAAAAACCATAATTTCTGAATAGCCTGAGGTGTCGAGGACTCGCCAAGTGGCATCCACAAGTGTTTTAACACCACCTTCCACCAAAGTAGAAAAATGATTGACGATGGGACTACAGCACATCCACTTACCCAGGCGGCTGCAGGAACTGTGCCCTGAAACGATGTCCCTGCCCACTCACTGACTGGCATTCTGACGACTGTAGATGGACACCTCCCAACCCAACCAGCACAGTTCACGGCAGCCCATCCACGCCTGAGCACTCCGTGTGCTGGCAGCAGTCTCTGCAGCTGTGGGCTGCATGCACAGAGCCTTGCCTCAGTTCCCATGTGCTCTCTCAGTTGTGCTCAACATCTCTTCGAGAGCCTGCAGTGTTTTCCCTGCATCTGGGACAGCTCCTGGAACACTAGCGTCCCCAGATGTGCATTTGACGTCACTGGTCCAGGGAGAAAGCGGTTTGTTTGGTATTCTTCCCATAAGAAGAAACTACATGGATTTCACCACATGACTGAAAAGGGTTTCATAATAGAGTGACATCTTTAAAAACAAACAACAAAAACTGTCAACCTAGGCTGGCTTTGTTGCTTTTTAGCCATCACTACAACCCCCCAGGACAACCACGACTTCCTAGGACCGAAGTTCTGTCATTATAGTCACCATCACTTGGTGCACAAGGAGGTGTGTGATCCGACGGCTACTCACTCATCTCACTGCAACAGCAGAGACAACTAAATAAAGTCTGTGAAGTCCTGTCTGCACAGGGGACCTGCCTCTGTACCACACCTCTCCAGGGCAAGCAGAAACGTGTGAGTCTGCAGGGTAGTGCCTAAAAGTATGACAAGTGCGGCAGGGTTTGGTGAACAGGACAGCAGTCCTGCTGGCCCTGTCCAGACTCACGCATGGGCTCTCATAACCCCACAAGGTAAAACCAACCGTATTGGCTTGAGATCACCAAACCACAACATAGAGGTGCAAGGTTCTGCTGCTAAAAAATGCGTTCAGTATGCTGGTGGGTTTGGAGTTGGGATTTCTTGACATGCCTCCCAGGAGACAGTGCACTGGGTGTTTGCATGTGAGGTGCCCATGAGAGTGATTTGATTCACCCTAACACAGCGTCTCAGTCCGAAAGTAGTGGGGACAAGTCACAGAGTGACCAGGGCACCTGTGGTGCTCACTTCAAGGGGATGCAATGGGACAGGGGGAGGCCAGCTCTGAACCAAAGCCTGCTTTTCCTTGGAGGGAGACTGAGCGACCACTCCCTCCAAAGAGGAGCAGCTCAGGCCTGGGCACCCCACAAATCATATGCATAACATTGACCTAAAACTCAGTTCCTATTTGGGAAGCATGGTATCAATGAAGAGAAGTAAAAAATAAAATAAAAAAATTTCACAAAGATTAAAATCAGAGAAGACGATCACCTGCTAGAAAAAGGGTCTACTACTCACAGAAAGCCACACTTCATCCCAAATGCCCCCCTTGAAATTCTGACTGGTCCCTGGCATCCAGAATCAGTGGATGCGGAGTTTTCCTGATTCGGATCAGATCCTGGCAGAGTTCTGAAGTCTTGAAGACATCCGTTACTGAACCTCATCCTAACAGTACTGAGGTAGACTATGCTGGAGAAGAATCACCATCCCACATTCACCTGTTTATTTTTCTTTGATAAAAACTTATGTGCACTCCATTTTTTAGAAAAATGATTTTTAGTGATTTTATATTAAAATAAATTATTTTCCCCTGATGTAAGAAAAACTTTCTGAGTTAGAAAAATGTGAAAATTGCTGGCAACTGTAGTCTAGAGCCACTACAAATTTACTATGAAAAGAACCAAATATCTAGACCTATGTGGTATTTTTTAAATTTGCATAAAGACCTTCTCCTATGTACAGAGTGAGCTTGGTAAAAATAATTTCTGTACTCTTGCTCCTTGTACCCAATCGAGGAGGCTCCCCAGAAATATTTTACATGCTCTAATTTCTCAAATCTTATAAATAGGAGAGCAATAGACAATTGGTGTTTGTGTCTACCTGTGTTGTTAATCAGGAATTGAAAAGTTTGGAGGTTGCACTGAGTCTCTATCTGTTCTTGAGTCCACAACTCAAGAGAAGAGAAGGAAGCCGTCAAAAACCTGTGAGGAAATGCACTCAGGGGTGATCAGGGTGATGATTCTCACGAACCAAAGTAACAAGTTCACTGTGTTCTTTACTTGAGCAGCTGTGGTTCTTTTCACCAAATAAAGAAACTGTGGATTCACGCTAGTTCAGAAGTCTGGGGGAGTGTGAAGGTCCTCGGCGTTTTCTCCCCTGGGCTCGACTTCGTTGGGGCTGCAACACTGTAAGCACCTGAGAGTTCTGCTCAGGCCCCACACCTGGCCCAGCTGAGGTCACAGCACAGAGCAGCTTCTGGGAGGCTAGTTCTGAGGACAGCTGGATGCCCTGAGGTTGCAGGGGATGGACAGAGAGGCCCGCACTTCTTATTGCTCAGTGTCCTCTAAGTCCATCTGTGCCGTCACACATGGGGATATGATTCTGTCGTGTCTGCAGAATAACTAGAGGATATGTACCCCCAGTTGAGGAAGAGCTTGAGGTACACAGAGGGAAGCAGGAGATCCAAGAGCCACAAGTGTATTTGAAGATAGGGCTCAGTTCCAGGTGGCTGCCAGCTTCCCCAAGCAGAAACCTAACCATCCATCAAACCCAACTGTCCATGCCCTCAGCACGGCCTCATCACATCCAAAAGGGTTAGCAGCAACTGTGGCTTTATTTCCAGAAAGACAGATGCCTTGAAGACCAAGCAAAGAGGCCCTTCCTGCCTAGCACCCTATTCCCACACAGGGAAACCAACCCACCAACCCTGCCCCCAACCCAGGAAACAGTCAATAACTTATGGGGCGGATTGGAGATTTTTTAAAACTAAAATGTGTTACAAATGTATTCTCAAAACTCTTTATCATCTCAGTTTTCCCCCCTTTTTCTTATGTCCTGGTTCTGTTTGGTCTTTAAAAGATCCATTATCACTCCAAACCACTCCCTCAGCCCCTGGAAAACTAGTTTTCACCAAAGTTAAGGGACAGAAGACTCCTGAGGCTAGACTAGGGCACATGAGACTCTATTGAGGGCGTAGTCTCTGGTGAATGAGAAGGAAGGAGGGGAACCAGGATGCTCACACACTTGGAAAAGGAGAATCTTCACGAGCCGATCCCCAGAGCTGCACCTCAGCACGAGTGCTTTGCACGCACACACACACAGCAACCCTGCCTGCCCTGAACGCACATGCACACACACCGGGACTGCAGGTTATGGAAAGTATAAAAGCAGCAGCTATTGGTCAATTTGAGAAACTACTTTTGTGAAGGAAAAAAAAAATTCTTCAGCCTGGATGAGAAAAACCTCCCAAAAGTTCACTCCATAAAGCCTGAAACTCTACTGGAACAGCATGTTTTTCTTTCTTTCAAACTTTCGTTCCATGAACAACTTTTATGTTTTACACTGTAGCTCAGACACCAGCCCCCATCCCCACAAAAAGTCCTTTTTCAAAAACAGGTGCTTTCTTTCAATCAACTGGAGAAAGAAGTAACATCCTGGCCTGACCCAGCAGCTGCTGCCAAGGGCAGCAGCCGTGGTAGCCTCGCCCTCTACGTTCAGCCAGACTCTCCAGCCATGGGTCAGACCAGCAATCGGACAGTGGTGGTTTGAGGTCGTGCGATGAACACACGCAGAGAGCAATGATCTCTCCGCTCCACTGACACCGGCAGAGTCCTGGGAAAATCCTGAGTTTCTGAAGACCTTCCAACCAGAGGAGAGTGAAGTGGGGAGCCCCTCCCGCAAGCAGAAGCTGTTAGGAAGGGCTGGACCTCGGCAGAGTCAGGGCCCGCCCATTTCTCTTGGCCCCGTTCATGTGGGTGTAGGGGACGTGCTCCTCGTAACTTCGCTTGAGGCCCAGGGGGGACCCCACCACCTCCTCCCTCGGGAAGTGTGAGGGCCGGTCCAGGGGCACGCTCTCCATGTCCTCACACTCCATCTCCAATTCCTCGCTCTCAGGTGCCTTGTTCTCCTCGCTGTGAAAGAAGGAAACTTCTGGAAAGGTGGGGTGCAGGTCATCCTTAAGCAGGTCAACGATCTCTAGGAAGGTCGGCCTCATCTTGGGGTTGAACTGCCAACACATGCGCATCAGTTCGCTGCTGTGGGACAGAGGACACATTGAGGATGAGTCCAGGCTTCCCACCCAGCAGTCCCACCCACCACCCTAGTCAGATGGCATATTCATTTCAGACAGCGGCTACACACACAGGTAATGGTTAAGCAAAAGCAGCAATTTTATTGGGGGTGAAGGTCAGTTTTCAAAAGAGAACTGAAGGGGCTGCCTTAACCCAGAGATAGGTCAAGAATGGCCTCTCTTGGTGTTGCCACATGGTGAAGACCACAGTTCCTCATTGTTATACATCCCCACTGCTGACGGCCATGGCTATTGTGGTTTGAACCTGGAAAGCCAGCTCTGAGAGGCCACTGCACAGGCCCAGCTGTCACTCTTTTGAGGATGGCAGGAGGACATTACACCTTTGCTTGGCCAATAGCAAAGAGGACAGGTGCTGAGGGCTTGGGATTTCCATTCTCACCCCTTCCTTTCCCCACTGTAACTTCTTCTAGGGCAGGGTTGGCAAACTTCGGCCCCCTCACCAAACCCGACCACCCTGAGTGTTTCTGTCTGTGAACATTTATTGGTAAACACTGTCCACCTTCTAGCTACAGCAGCAGAGCTGCAACAAAGAGCACCACGGCCCACAGAGTGAAAATTCTAACAATATGGCCCTCTGCAAAAAAGTCTACAGAGCCCTGCCTTAGTGCTCCTGAGGTTCCCTGGTCCTGGAGCCAGAGCTGGCTGCTGACTGGCTAGGAGAGGGCCTCCACAAGGCAACAGTTTGAAGTGCTTTGCTCAGAGACTCTAAATAACTCTGCATCATACTTTTCTTGATAAGCAGTCCCTTCAAAACATATTTTTAAAGTTGGTGTCTTATTCTTTTGGGGATGAAGCATAAAAATGGCCTCTCCCCACGAATTTTCAGATCAAACTTTTTTCTTAAGCAACACTGATAAAGGATTTCATATGTAATAAATGCTCATTGTAGAAAGTTAGAAAAAAACCCAAAATACAGGGAAAATGCAGCTCACACAGTACTCTCCTTCAGATACAATCTCTTGTCTTTTATCTGGACATATTTGGAAATGTAATATATACACACTTTTTCACTTAATATTTAACTGGTTTATGCACTGAGTTATAAAACATTTTATAAGCATCATTTGAAATTTCAATTGCTACATCATATTCATGTATCAATTTACTTGGCAATTCTCATTTTGTTGGATTATTTGTTTAAATCATTTCAATTTTTTGAGACTTTAAAAATAACTTCCCAATTCCCAGTCAGGGTACATGCCTGGGTTGTAGGCCATGACCCTCAGCAACCGCACATTGATGTTTCTCTCCCTCTCTCTCTTTCTTCCTCCCTTCCCTCTCTAAAAAGAAATACATAAATAAAATCTTTAAAAAAATAACTTTGTTCTGGGTAGCTCTTATAACAGGAAGATAAGAATGGTTATCTAGCCATACCGTTGTTAGCACTGAGTGTTAAACTCACCCTGCTTTCTTTCCTCTCCCTCCTTCCCTCCATTCTTTCCTTCCTTTCTTTCGTTGTTAATTAAGGAAGACAGTAGTTTCCTTTCCTTTATTTTATACTCATTGGACTATTAGTGGGGCTGAATGATTTTGCAACTGTTTAGTGGTATGTGTATATGAGTATGTGTTGTTCATTTGATCTCATAACAAATATTCAAAACAAAAGTTTTTTAACGTTTATGCTTACTGACTTATTTTTTCCAGTATTATTGAGATATAATTGAATATAACATTATATTAGACTTGTGACAAAATTTTAAGTGGATAGAGAATTATACCTCAGTTTCTCACCAAACTCCCCAATTCCCCTCCAAAAGTATGATATACAAACTCAGAGGTCATGGAAACATAAAATATGCAAACATGAGCACACATGTAGATATAAGCAAACACTAGCACACATATAGACATATGAGGTAGCAACACTACCACACATATAGACATGATATACAAACATAAGCATGCAGGTAGACATAAGATATACAAACATAAGTATGCATGTAAACATGATATACAAATACAAATACATGTACAACATGCAATGCCTTTTAAATGAGCACCCATTGGGGAGATAAATAGTGATGGAAGGAGACCTGAGTTTGGGTGGTGAACACAAAATAAAATATACAGATGACACACTGCAGAACTGTAGACCTGAAACCTATATAATTTCATTAACCAATGTCTCCCCAATAGAGTCAATTAAAAAAATTTTTTTAAATAATTAAATAAATAAAGAAATACCCCTTTCTACACTTACAGTCTATCTGGACAATTGTCAGGCTGATCCAGATGTCCTCCATCCATGACAAATTTCAACACCTGCTCATTGGAGAGGCCTTGGTATGGCTGTTCTGCCAAGCTGGTGATTTCCCAGAGGACCACACCAAAGGACCTGCCAACAACAGTTGAGAAGAGTAACAAAGAACAAAAAAATATTTAAACACACACACACAACTTTCTTGGTTTACTACAACCTGGTGGGCTACTTATTTAAATAATCCAGATTCACTTCCTCTCAAGATGGCAGAGTAGCTAAACGCTCTGCCTGCACCCTCCTGTGACCACATGAAAATTACAGCTGAGTTACAGAACAATCAGCCTGGAAGAGCATCTGAAGGCTAGCTGAAGAGAAGTCTTATAACGAAGGACATAAAAAAGCAGCCACGTTGAGACTGTTAGGAGGGGCGGAGACATAGAACAGGGTGGCCCCACACACCTGTGTGGAGGTTGAGAATCAGGAGGGATATCTCAGCTGCAGAAATTCCCCTGAGGAGCAAGGGGGCCTAGGCCCGCATGGGACTCCCCAGCCCGGTGCTGGGAAGAAGAGCCCACAAAATATCCGCTGTAAAAATCAGTAAGGATTCTGTCCATCTGGGTGAGAGGAAAGGCTTCAGGAAACTGACATCCTCTTAAAGGGCTCACACAGAGACTCACTTGCTCTCAGGCACTTACCATGGGCTCTAGTGGAGAGACAGCAGCTGGGGGTGGCAAGGGGTGGGGGAGGGGTTGTCACTAGAGATATACAGAGAGAAACAAATTGTGTGGCTTCAGAGCAAGGGCTGGAGAAACAGCTCCTACCACACAGCCAAGTGTGAATCTGCATTAGCTTAATGAACTCCACTCCCCGACCCTCACAACCATGAGACTATGTCTGACCCAGCTCACCTACTGCCTGAGTCTTTCAGCAGCTGAGCCGTATGAGCAGTCCGAAGGCAGCAACGGGCCTTGGGGTACCCTGTGCCTTTCACTAGCGTCCCAAGGCCTGGTACTGGTGGCAGGAGGCCTCAGTTCACAGTGTGGCCTCTCCCATGGACCTCCAAACCCAGAATAGGCAACTACCAACCACAGAACACTTTGCAGCTTCCACAAGGTAGCCTCAGACCAGTCACAGCCAGTGGCTAGTGTAGATCTGTACCAGAGTTCCTCCCCAGAGGCCTCAGAAACAACACACCCAATGGCCACCTTCACACCACAACAGAGAACCACCCGATTAAGTAAACAAATGACATACCCAAAGGGTGGTCTCAGCTGGCATCAGAGTCCACTCGGGCAAACTTGACTCTGTGAGGTCAGCCCACACACAAAAGCTCATTCCCTGTGGTAGTGGCCAATCCTTACAGCCAGACAGCCTGAGGGTTAATATCTTCCACTGCAGTGCCAACAGCAATTGAGACTCAACTAGAACAGAATCCGCATAAGGGGCAGTCCGGGAGCATGAGGTTCAGGTGATCGGTGAGACTGTACCACTGGTCCCCACAGGTGACATACTACATAAGGCCATCCTGCCAACACTGGGAGACATAGCGGCTCTACCTAATACATAGAAGCAAACACAGAGAGGCAGCCAAAATAAGGGGACAAAGAAACATGTCCCAAATGAAAAAAGTGTAAGAAAACTCCAGAAAAAGAACTAAATAAAATGAAGTCGAGCAACCTACCAAATACAGAGGTCAAAATACAGGTTAAAAGGATGCTCAAGGAACTTAGGGGAAGAATAGATAAATTCCATGAAAACTGCAACAAAGAGATAGTAAGCACAAGAAAAGAACATGGAAACCATAAAAAAGAACCAGTCAGAAATGAAGAATATACTAACTGAAATGAAAAATACGCTAGAAGGAATCAACAGAAGATTGGAAAAAGCACAGAATTGAACCAGCAATCACAAAGTACCTAAACAGCAAAAACACAAAGGAATCCAAAAAAATAAGGATAGTTCAAGGGTCCTCTGGGACAAGATCAAGTGCAACAACATTCAGAAGAAGGGACCAGAAGAAGAGAGAGACCAAGGGATTAACAACCTATTTGAAAATATAATGGAAAACTTCCCTAACCTGGTGAAGGAAATAACATGCAAGTCCAGGAACCACAGAGAATCCCAAACAAGATGAAGCCAAAGAGGGCTGCACCAAGGCACAACATAATTAACATGGCAAAGGTTAAGACAAAACGAAAATCTTAATAGTGGGGGTGGGGGGGGTGGATAAATGCAGTTAGTTACCTACAGGGGAGTTCTCATAATACTGTCAGCTGATTTTGAAACAGAAACAAACTCTCCAGGCCAGAAAGGATTGAGATGAAATAGTCAAAGTGATGAAAAGCAGGGACCTACAACTAAGACTACTTTCCACAGCAAGGCTATCATTTAAAATTGAAATAGAGATAAAAAGCTTCCCAGACAAGAAAAAGTAAAGGAGTTCATCACCACTAAACAAGTGTAACAAGAAAGTTAAAGGGGCTTCTTCAAGAAGATTATTATAAAAAGATCATAAATATAAACAATAAAATGGAAATCACTACATAACTAACAATAATCACTTAAGAAGTAAATGGACTAAATGCTCCAATCAAAAGACATAGGGTAGCTGAATGGGTAAGAAAACAAGACCCATATATATGCTGAGTACAAGAGACTCACTTCAGATTGAAAGACATACACAGACTGAAAGTAACAAGACGGAAAACATATTTCATGCAAATGAAAATGAAGAAAGAGCTGGGATAGCAATACTTAGACAAAACAGATTTTAAAACAAAGGCAAATTAAGAGAGAGAAAAACATTTCATAATGATAAAGGAATTAATATGACAAGAGGATATAACCCTTGTAAATACCTTTGTACCCAACATTGGAGCACCTAAATACATAAAGCAAATACTGATAGACATAAAGGGACAGATCAATAGAAACACAGTCATAGTAAGGGGCTTTAACATACCATTAACACAAACGGATAGATCTTCCAGACAGAAAAGCAGCAAGGAAACAACAATCTTAAATGATACATTAGACCAGGTGGATTTAATTGGTATTTCTAGAGCATTTCACCCAAAAGCAGCAGAATATACATTCTTTTCAATTGTACATGGAACATTTTCCTGGAGAGACCAAATGATAGGCCACAAAACGAGTCACAATAAGTTTAAAAAGACTGAAATCATATCAACCATCTTCTTCAAACACAAATCAACCAAAAACAAAAAAACTGAAAACACACAAACACATGGAGGCTAAATAGCGTGCTACTAAACAATGAATGGGTTGACAATGAGATTATGGGAAATAGTCTCATTTGTTCTCAAGATACCTTGAGAAAAATAAAAATGAAAACACAACAACCCCAAATCTATGGGACACAGTAAAGGCAGTTCTAAGAGGAAAATTCATAGCAACACAGACCTACCTCAAGAAACAAGAAAAATCTCAAATAAACAATCTAATCTTACACCTAAAGAAACCAGAACCATAAAAACAACAACAACAACAAAAAAGCGCCAAATGAGGAGAAGAAAGAAAATAAAAAAGATCCATGCAGAAATCAATCAGATGGAGTATAAATAAACAATACAAAAAAATCAATGAAACCAAGAGCTGTTTTTTTGAAAAGATAAACAAGATTGATGCACCTTTAACCAGACTCATCAGGAAAAGAGACAGAGGACTTAAATACATAAAATCAGAAATTAAACAAACTGCATCACAGGAATACAAAGGATAATACTACTACCAACAATTATATACCTACAAATTGAACAATCTGGAAAAAGTGGATAAATTCCTAGTAACATCAATCTTCCAAGAATGAATCAAGAAGAAACAGAAAATCTGAAAGGAACAATCACTACTAACAAAATTGAATTAGTAATAAAGAAATTCCTAACAAACAGAAGTCCTGGACTGGATGACTACACAGTGAATTTTAGCAATTCAAAGAAGAATTCAAAGAAGAATCAACACCTATTTTACTCAAAATATTCCAAAAAACTCAAGAGGGAGGAAGGCTTCCAAGTTCATTTTGTGAGGCTAGCATTGTTACCCTGATTCCAAAAAAGAAAAATTATAGGCTGATATCCCTAGTGAATACAGATGCTAAAATCCTCAACAAAATATCAGCTAACCAAATTTAGTAATACATTGAAAAGATTATACACCATGATCAAGTGGGAGTTATTCCTGGAATCAAGTTTGGTTCAATATCTACAAGTCAAGTAACATGATACATCACATAAATAAAAAGGATAAAAATCATATGATCATGTCTAGATACAGAAAAAGCATTTGACAAAATCCAGCACCCATTTATGATAAAATTCTCAGCAAGGTGAGAATAGAGGAAACATTTCAACATAATAGAGGCTAATATCATACTCAAAAGGGAAAAGCTAAAAGTGTTTTCCTCAAGTTCAACATAGTCCTGGGAGAACAAGCCACAACAATCAGACAAGAAGAAGAAATAAAAGGCATCCAAATTGACAAGGAGGAAGTAAAACTGTTATTATTTGCAGATGACATAATATTACATATAAAGAACCCTAGAGATTCCACCAAAAAAAAATTTAGAACTGATAAATGAATTCAGTAAAGTAGCAGGATACAAAAAATAATATTCAGAAATCAGTTGCATTTTTGTACACTAATAATGAACTATCAGAATGGGAAATTAAGATAACAATCCCATTTACAACTGCATCACAAAATACCTAAGAATAAATTTAACCAAGGAGGTAAAAGACTTGTATGGTCCTTGGAAAATTATAAGATGTTAAAAAAATGAACTGAAGAAGATATAAATAATTGGAAACATATACTATACTCATGGGTAGGAAGAATTACCAAAAGTAATCTATAGATTTAACGCAATGCCTATGAAAATGTCAATGGCACTTTTCCCAGAACTAGAACAAATAATTGTAAAAATTTTAAATACTTTTCAAAGGTTTTATTTATTTATTTTTAGAGAGGGGGGAAGGAGGGAGAAAGAGAGGGAGAGAAACATCAAAGTGTGGTTGCCTCTCACATGTCCTCCACTGGGGACTGAGGCCACAACCCAGGCATGTACCCTGACTGGGAATCCAACCGGCAATCCTTTGGTTTGCAGGCCAGTGCTCAATTCACTGAGCCACAGCAGCCAGGGAAAATAATTGTAAAATTTAAATGGAATCACAAAAGACCCCGAAGAGTCATAGCAATTTCGAGAAAGAAAAGTAAAATTGGAGATATCATGCTACCTGATATCAAACAACACTACAAGGCTACAACAATCAAAACAGTATGGCACTGGCATAAAAACAGACATATAGATCAATGGAACAGAACACAGACCCCAGAAATAAACCCATACCGATATGGTCTATTAATACTTGACAAAGAAGGTAAGACACAGTCTATTCAATAAATGGTGTTGGGAAAATTGGACAGATATATGCAAAAATTGAAACTAGACCACCTTCTTAACTATTTACAAGAAATAGGACATGAAACCATAAAACTCCTAAATGAAAACATAAGACAATAAAATGTATGACATTTCTCTTAGCAATATTTTTTCTGATATAAGTCCCCAGGCAAGGAAAACAAAAGAAAAAATAAACAAATGGAACTACATCAAACTAGAAAGTTTTGTACATCAATAAAGCAAAAAGACAACCTGCCAAATGAGAAAAGACATTTGCCAATGACACATCTGATAAGGTGTTAATATCCAAAATGCATAAGGAAATCATAAATTCAACACCAAAAAAAAATCCCCAACAACAAGCAATCCAATTATAAAAATGGGCAAAGGGGCTGAATAGAAACTTCTCCAAAAATGACACACAGATGGCCAGTTAATGCTTATAAAGATGCTCAACATCACTAATCATCAGAGAAATGCAAATTAAAACCACAATGAGATACTACCTCACACCTGTCAGAATGGCTACCACTAAAAAAATCAACAAACACCAAGTGTTGGTGAGGATGTGGATAAAGGCAACCCTCATGGACTGTTAGTGGGACTGCAAGTTGGTATAGCCACTGTGGAAAACAGTGTGGAGGTTTCTCAAAAATTAGAAATAGAACTACCTTATGACTCACCTCTGAACATTCATCTGAAGAAATCCAAAACACTAATTTGAAAAGATATATGCACCCCTATATTCATCGACCCATTATATTTACAATAGCCAAAATATGGAAACAACCTAAATGCCCATTAATAAAAAATTGGATAAAGATGTGGTATAATACATATATTTATAATGGAATATTGCTCAGCCATCAAAATAAAATGAAATCTTATCATTCCCAACAACATAGATGGACCTAGCAGGTATTATGCTAAGTGAAATGGGTCAGACAGAGAAAGACAAATACATTGTGATTTCACTTACATGTGGAATCTAAAAACCAAAATCAGCTAATAATTAAAACAGAAACAGACTCATGGACACGGAGAACAAACTGAGGGTTGCCAGATGGGAGAGGGGTTGGGGAGCTGGATGGAAACAGTGAAAGGATTGAGAAGGACACATTGGTGGTTACAAAACAGTCACAGGGATGTAAAGTGCAGCACAGAGAATAAAGCCAATAATATTGTGATAACTATGTATGGTGCCAGATGGGTACTAAACTCATCTGCTGGGATCACTTCATAAATAATTACAAATATCGAACCATTATGCTATACACCTGAAACTAACATAATATTAAATGTCAACTATAATTGTAAAACAAATAAATAAAAATGAAAAAACAAACAAACAAACAAACATTTTTATGCTGCATTCAGAAATGCCTTTAAGATTAGTCCCGAATGGAATGGAATGGAATGGAATGGTGGCTAGCTGCTCAAGGGTCCTCAGACCTGACACTTCCTTCATTTTCTGAGGGCTGTGAGGAAGGTAGGTTTTAACTGCACCTCTTCCTTAGACTAGTGGAGCAACCTGAAATTCAAACCCAGCGTTCTAGCCCCCAGCCCACACTCCTCCACTCACCACATGTCAGAGGAGGTGGTGAAGACCCCGTCTTTCAGGGACTCTGGCGACATCCACCGCACGGGGAGTAGGCCTTTGCCGCCTTTCCGGTAATAGTCCGTTTCATAGATGTCTCTGGTCATCCCAAAGTCTGACAACAAAGCGTTCACAAACTTTTACCCTTCAGCCTTTTTACCCTGTGGCTCAGGTGTCTGCCATCCTCACTGCCTCACCACTGGCAGAGCCCTCAGATGGGCTCACCGGGCCCAGGTGTATGCTTGCCTGGGTGGCTGCCAAATCCTGGGAGAATGGATTCTGAAGGTGCTCGTGGGATGTGGAGGGAGAGGATGGGCCACCACTTAAAGGAAGGAGAAGGAACCACCAAGTGGCAAGGAAGCAATGCTCCACCCACAGCTTGGGAATCCCAGGCTCAGAAACGCTTCCTTCCCACCCAGGACTCACAAGCATCCCAAAGTATTGACTCTCTGTAGCCAATACACTGCTCCCCATTGGATATGGCCCCACCTAACTGCTAGCTGTTCCACCAAAAACCCAGAGTCGGCCCCTCCTTTGACCACTCTCTTTCCTCACATGCATAACTGTGGTGAGTCCTACCCACCCTCCCTCCACGTTCCCCTCTAACCAGCTATCTATTCCCCTCCACTGCTCTGGAACCAACCAGGTCCACCATCTTCTTTCACCTACAGGACCCTCCCTCCATCCTGACCCTGACAGCCCACTCCCCAACAGAAGCTACATAAATAGGACGGCATCACTTTGCTGCTTCCTGCCTCCCTTGCTGATATAGGGCAAGATCTTTGGGGATTATAAATAGAATAACATAATCTACTGCTTCCCAATGACTGCTAAGGAGGGAAATGTCTTTTTGGATCACACACAGAACCACATCACTTCCTGCTCTTCACTGGCTGTGCGGGATAACGTTCAGATGCCTCCCCATGACTTTTGAGCTCCTTCTGGGTCTGGCTCCCACCTGTCCCCTTAGCCTCATGTCTCGTGCTGCTCTGTCCCCCTATGCTCGTCTTGTTCAGACGTCAGTCACCCCTCCAGCCGCATGGCCGCTGCATGAGTTCCCACTGCCCCTGGGACGCTGTCACTCAGGTCAGCTTCTGACCCTCCAAATCTTGGGGGGAGTGGTGCCTCCTTTTAGACGGGGACCTTCCTCTGGTCACAGAAGTCCATTTCTCTCAGTGCTCCTCTCCCGTCTTCTCCACCTTGTGAGCTGTTCCATTGTTCACCTAGAACACCTCTGCCCAGAACTTTCTGTGGTGATGAATGTGGTTGACACCCACACTGTCCCACATGGCAGTCACTGGGCACCTGAAATGGGTCCCATGTGACCAACAAACTGAATTTTCAATTTTCCTAAATGTGAGTTAATTTATATGTAGATAGCCGCACATGGCCAGTGGCTTCTGTGCTGGATGGCACAGACAAAGGCTGCAAGCTCCTGGGGGCAGAAGAATCGTGGTGACGTCTGCATCGTCACACACAGGTGCCTGCTCGTGGCTGCATGTACAGGCGCACGGGTGTGACGTAAAGAAGTGAATGAGTAAGTTAATGAACGAATGCAATCCCATTACAGTATGGGAATTTGTAAAGTATATGGTTGTCTCAACTAATATAAACTAATGGCGAATGTAAAATGTAACTGAAAAATAAAAATTTTTAAAACTTAAAGTAAAGGAAAAAAAGAGATTTTCAAAATTGGAAAACATTACAATGTGGGGATCAAGCCCCCATCGGAAACCCTGCTGTTTCCACCACGGGAAAAGCTCTCACAACCCACAGCAGACAAGCCCCTCTGAAACGAAGCATGGCCCGAGCTACAAGTTCCAAAGCAGAAAGCCAGACAAACCTCCAATTTTGACAGTGAAATCATGGGCGACCATGCAGTTTCGAGCTGCAAGGTCCCGGTGCACAAACTTCTTCGCATTCAGGTAGGCCATCCCGTCTGCAATCTCAGCTGCCATCTGAATCATCTCATGCAGGGTGGGGGGAGGGCGGCCGGGATTATTCTACAGTCAAAACAAGAGGTCATGTTCAGCAACACTGGGGCATGCAGCCAGGAGGGAGTGTCCTGCGGGGCACCCGGACAGCTCACCTCAGCCTCAGGCCGCAGGGAACGGAGGTAGCTCTTCAGGTCTCCATGAGCCATCAACTCCATCACCACCAGCGTCGGCTGGCCCTTGGACACCACCCCCAGGAGACGGACCTGGAGAGCCAAAATTTGGGGTGGGTGGGAGTCTTGGATGAGGGCATGTGGGAAGATTTCAACTCGCCAAGATCTCCTTGTCTGGTCACACACAGCACCCTGCTCTTGGGTTGTGTGTGGTGAACCCTGGCCTGTCCGGCTCACATGCCTGGGCCACCACCCAGAGGTGGGAGAGCAAGGAGGGAGAATTCAGGACTCACAGTCTGGTGGGTGGGGGCATACACAGGCCTGCCTGCACATTGGAACATTCTAAGGCAAATCATGGGATATCCCTTGATGTCTCTGAGCACACACCTCCACCTTCAGGCCTACGCAATAGCTGTTCCCTGGGCCTGACTCTTTGTCCCCGTACATGCCCACACGCTGTCCCTACACTCTTTCAGTCTTTGTTCAAACACACTTTCTCCACTCCTGAATTCTCAACCCTGCAACCCTGCTCTCCTTTCTCATGTACCATAGCAGCATCTCCTAGCCAGGAACCTGTTGGGTTTGGAGTCCGTCTCCACCCACTGTGTTGAAAGCTCCAGAAAGCTACTGCATTGCAGAGATGAGAACAGGGCTCAGCACAGAGCAAATACCCTGCTCATACACATGGGGCAAAGGTGAAGGGACACAAGGCTCAAGGAGAAACCTGGTGAGGGAAGCAGGGGGCCAGGGAGAGTGTGTGCTATCTTAGGGGGTGCAGGCTGAGGGGCACCACTGTGTGTTTAAGGGTTAAAAAGGAGCTGAGAGGAAGATGAGATGAAAGACTCCAAAAAGCACTGGGGCAAAAAAATTTGGCTCCATTTGAGGTAGGACTGGAGAAGGGAGACCGACCCTCCTCCCACTTTTGGGATGCTTAGCAGGGTAGGGGCTGGGCAGGGGGCCCACACCCACCTTCCTCATGGGGCAGAGCAAGACCAGGGAACTGACAGGGAAGAGATAATGCCGAAAAAGTAACAGCAACAAGCATTGCTAAAAGAGTCATTTAAAAGGAGGCTTTTAGGAAAGGAGGGCCTCTGCAAGACTGAGCCCCACCCCGCCTCCTCTCAGAGCTGCTACTAAGTTGCTAACATGCTGCTAAACTCAGCTCAAGCTGAGCCGTAATATCCTGGAACAACACAGGGACTTGACCATCTGCTTGTAGTTTTCACGCTCTCCTCTGCTTACTGTAACTAGCCAAGCCCAGGCAACCCAGTCAGCACACTTCATCTGCAGGAAAAATGACACTCGGGGGTGTTTCCTCTGCAAACCCTGCCTTTCTTTGTTCTCTCTGCAGACAGTGTAGTTGCTATCTGAATTAGGGTCTCTAAGGTTTCAACTTTTTCCTCAAATAAGTGCATCTTGTTGTTTATTGTAGCCTGAGCCTCAGCTCTGGTTAACAAAAGCAGACTTTGCTCCCAGGGCAAACTCGGGACTCACCACATGATGGCAGGTGAAGCCTTTCATTACTGAGGCCTCGTTGAGAAACTCGATCCGCTCCCGCAGGCTGGCTGACTCGTTGACTGTCTTCACCGCCACTCGGGTCTCTGCCTCGCCCTTGATGATGTCCCTGGCGTTGCCCTCGTACACCATGCCGAAGGAGCCCTGCCCCAGCTCCCGTAACAGGGTAATCTTCTCCCGAGGCACCTCCCATTCGTCCGGCACATAAACAGAACATGGGAACACTACCCCTCACTTATCTACACAGCATCCTGTGGGGTCCCCCAGCCACCTCTGACCCAAGCCCCCCCACAAATGCTCATTGACTCCTGTGGTCCAGGACCCCAGGCACACCGCCAAGAACAGGACAAGTGTGGGTCCCTGCTATCACGGAGGGGATGGCAAAGGCTCAGAAAGAGGCCACACCAGTCCAGGGTCCTCCAGTAAATGCCTGCTAAGCCTGCATCCCCATCCTATCTGTGTGATTCAGAGATGCACAGTCCAATGGTGCCACTTCCCAACTAAGGCTGGTACCGAGGGGCTGGGGGACCACCTGGCCTGTGAAACACCGTCTAGCACCACCTCGCATCCACTGACCCCCAGGCAGGGGCAGCCACATCAGCGAGACCATGAGAACTGCCCAGCCAAGCACAGCCTTAAGGGCAGACCCACCCAGCTGAGAGCTAATGAGTTGGTGGTTTTACTCCACTGTTTGGGGCCATTTTTTACATAGCAAGTAAACACTGACATGTGCACGAAGGCCTCGTAAGAGTCCAGACGCTTCCTGCCTTCCCTGTGTGGCCACTGTGATGAGTTGAACTGGTCTCTCCCCAAAGTCCTCTGTGGAAGCCCTGACCCGGGACCCCAGAATGTGACTGTATTGGAAGAAAACGTCTTTAAAGAGAAAATCAGGGAAAATGAGGTCATTAGTTAGGGTGGGCCTTAAGCCAACATGAATAGTATCCTTATAAGAAGAGAAAACTAGGACAATGACACACAGAGGGACGACCATGTGTGGAGAGAGAAGACGGTCTTGCTATCAATCCAGCCACAAAACCTCACTGTCTAGAACTGTGAGAAAATGAAACTGCTTTCTAAGCCACCTAGTGTGTGCTACACGGTTACCACAGCCAAGGCCAATCATACAGGCACCAAAAGCTCACACAAGGACACTGAATCCACAAAAGCTCTGCACCCCAAAGAACTCACGGATGCCTAGTAGAGGTACCCTGCCTGCCAGGGCCCTGAGTTTGGATCTTTCCCTGTGTGAAGGCTCAGGCCTTCCCGACCTTCAAGACCCTGGAATCAGAATTTCCAGCCCAGACTGGGTACCCCAGAGTGGCCGAAATGATTCATACAAGCCAGTCCTGATCCCACTCACCCTGTCTCACCCTTTCCTCCCCATGGAAACCACGCTGGCCCAGGTTTCCCCTCCCTCTGCCTCCTGACGGCCCTGGTGGAGGTATGTGCCTCCTATTTCTCGGGGACTATGAGCAAAAACATCTTCCTTCATGACAAGTCACTTCCATGCCTGCATGTCTGATCAGACCTGATTAACACAAATAGGGGGTACCCTTAAAAACATCACCTACCTGTTCCCCAGCCAACATCCTGACAGGCAATGGTACCCATGCCTTGAAAGTCATTTCTGTATTTTTGCTGCATGAAGCAGTTTAGAAACTTGCAATGCAACAGACACCTTCCCCTGGGAAGGCAGCCAGTCCTTTGGTGTGACCAAGGGGAATATGGGCATCATATGGGCGTCAGACCGATGCTCCTGCCCCCGGCATCACATGCATTCTCAGCAGCCACCGACAGCAGGTGTGTCCCTAGCACCCACACTGCCTCCCACCCGTCTGATCCTGTCCCTACTTCTCATCTTGCTCACTGATCCATAATCTCCCATTTTGGCTTCCAATTCCCACCTCCTGGCTCGGGCACCAAGTTCAGACACAGCGTTCTAGCTCTGACCCTCAGCACTCTGTCTCGCACAGGCCTCAAGGTCCACACTCCCATAGCTGGGGCACCAGGTTCTCAGCCTCCCAGCCCAGCCCAGCCCATGGGTCCCACACCAGCTGGACCAGCTCATCCACACAGGTGCCAGTCAGCAAGTGTCTACGACTGCTCCCTGTGAGGGGGCTGTGCAGCAAGGGGCAGGTCTTCAGCTCCAGTGACAAAGAGGGCTGGTCTCAGCCTCTTGGGGTGTCAACTCTTTACTTTCACTTGACAATAGTGGTGAAGGAAACCGGACAGTAGGATTCTGGCCACCCATAGGTAAGGGGATGGCACTTACCATCACTGGCACTGAGGTACTCAGGGTTTGAAGAAGCATATAGCGGTCCCAGCGGCCCATCTGGCTGCCTGGAAAAAAGAAAGGGAGCCATTCCAGCTGAGGTTCCCCCAGGGCTTCACGGGTCCCTGCAGGCCTCCCCAGTGTAAGCAGCACCTCGAAGTAGCACCCGAGCAGCACCCACGTCCCAGTGCGGTTCTGGGGCCATCTCATCTGAGCTCACGAGAAACAACTGTTAAATTTTGGGAAACTTGCAAGCCAGTTTTTAAATAAACCATCATTCAAAAATAAAATAGATAGGCTTACAATTAAATAAATTATATTAAAAGCAAAGACGATGCCATTCAAAACTCACCACTCCCTCATTATCATACTACACCTCACTACGTTCAGCGCTCTGAAGGCTGCCTGCATTGCCTCACTTCTTATAGTGCTGCACACGTTGGGCAGCGACGCCACGCGTCAGGGCCACTGCATATCCCTCCCAGCTCGGCACTCAGGGGCGTCACGCTGTAGCTTGAAATTGGTCATGGTGGGAGTATTCACACCATGGAAGTAGGCAAACACTACAAACTAAGACTGAATTTCTTGTTCTGTTGTTTGTCTGGGTTTGACAAACTGACAGAAAAATATATTAATAATGCAGAATAAACTTAAACATATCATCTGTAGCCATGATGTTGCAAATGGCACAAAACACTGGGAAAATATTAAGTATTTAAGGATTACTAGACGGCTGATTCCACAAAGCCACTCCTGTGACTGATGAACATGTATGTCTCTTTTCATTTCTGGCCTACTCTTCAACATAAACAAAATGAACACGTGTCTATCAGCAACCATAGGCTGACTACAGAAACAAACGTTCAGGGGAAGAATTGATGGAAGTACTTGGTGAGGAAAATTACAATAAACTGGATGGCACATTGCCTTTATGATCATAGCTAGAAAGTGTATGCTACTTAGATACAACTGTATCTACATCTATGTATCTCTCTAGGCTTAATTTTTCTGCAGAGCCAGTTGTTAACCATCCACCACTGTACTAACCTCTTTCTCAGGAACAGGTAAATACTCCCAATCACAACACTGAAGAGGAAGACAAAGATGAGGGGGCCAATGATAATTTTTGCAATATCTGGTGAGGGGACTACTGAAATACAATAAGAAAACACATGTTTTGTATCAAAATGTGTTCATATCACAAGCTGCATCTACAAAGATAAAGGTGGGCCACACATACTTTTCTCCCATCTTTTGCCCCTGAGGTTCTCTGCTGGTCTCCTAGAACCTATTTCCCAGCAGTCCTGAAACACAATTTGGCTCCTTGGGGCTGGGCAGCAGGCTCAGAGGTCACTATTCTGAAAGCACACACTGACCCCCATTCCATTGCCTGCTGCCAGCCCTCTCTTCCCACCCAGGGCCAGCTTCACAGCCATGCCAGCCAGGCTGCCACCCACAGCCCCACACTCAGAAGGGCTGTGCTTTGGGTTTAATATTCCATAGTCACTATCTTGAAAGTCTTAATTTTAAAACAAGGGCCCTGCATTTTCATTTTGTTCTGAGCCCTGCAAATTAAATAGCCTGCCTTAATTCGGAACAGCAGCTCTGACAGATGACAAATCCACCAGGAAGTGCCCTGTGTGTGCTAGAAGGTCCTGCCCCTCCCCACTGGACAGCTGGTCCATGAACCTTGGAAGAACACCAGGCAAAATAAAGTGCACGTCCCCCAAAGAACCCATATGACTACATTGCTGAAGAAACGTTACTCGGCCTTTATTTTTTAAATTCACGTACAAGGCTCAGTTGTCTGAGATTGTAAACAGGCCCATGTCTCCAAACTCTTCCAAGCTGAGGTAGAAAATGGGTTTGGAAAAACCAGAGAAGGAATCTGGTCGTCTGGGCCTTTTAATAATAGTAGTTTACTCAATACTCACTAAGAACCAGGCTCTGTTCAAAGTGCTTTGTGCAGCAATCTTATTTAACTGTCCCATAAGCCAAGGCAGAAGGTACTCCAACTAACAACAGTTAGTGGGCTAGGAAACAGAGGGGCAGGGAAGGGAGAGGTCCTGCCCACAGTCTCAGAACTGACCCACAGAGCAGCATGTGTCCAACCCAGGCGGTTAGGGTGAGCTCTGACCAATGCCCCACGCTGCCTTTGGTGGCCAGGTGTAACCTGAGATGTCTCATCCTCCTGTACCTCCCCAGTGAAAAGCAAACCATCAGAGCCATCTCCAGTGGCTCCTGGCTGGCTGAAGGTCTCCACAAATGTTTAGTGATCGAGTATGAGTGGGAAGCGGAAAGGGTGTAGCCATGTGCAGCTGTGTGTGCAGGTATTTAAATGTTCCTCCTCCCCTCCCTTTTTCCTAAAGAGTGGGAAACCTGCAGGTGACCAAATGGTTAGGAGTCAGCACGACCCAATCCCATCTCTGCGTCCCAGACCCTACAGTCCTGCTCACTCCTCAGCTTCCAGTGGCAGCCAGAACTATACTGACAGAAGGGAGGTCTCCGGGTGCAAAATCCAAAAGCAGCTCTTGCTCTGGGTCATGCAAGGGTTGGGGCAGCCCCTGACGGAGAGCAGCAGCTCCTTCAGTTCTGCACCCTGGCGCCTTGCTTCCCTCCTTGTTCTACAACAAAGAATTTCTTTAAAAAGTATAGTGGACCTTTGAACAACACAGGTTTGAACTGCATGGGTCCTCTGATACATAGATTGTTTTCAATATATACACAGTACTGTAAATGTATTTTATCAACATTTTCTTTTTCTCTAGGTCACTTTATTGTGAGAATACAGTATATAATATGTAGAACATACAAAATGTGTTTGCCAACTGTTTGTTATCGGTAAGACTTCCTGTCCACAGCAGGCTATTAGTTGAGTTTTTGAGGAGTTGAAAGTTACACAAGGATTTCTGATAGTGCTGGAGGGTCTGTGCCCCTTGTCTGGCGTTGTGTAAGTGCTGCCGGTCCTCTGAAGGGTGACATTGAACTCCCCAGGTTTTTGGCTATTGTGAGTGGCACTGTGCTGGATTTCCTCGAACATGTATCTTTTTAAAACATGTCCGATTTTTCCTTAGGATACATTTCTAGAACAAGAATTGTTGGCTCAAATAGTAAGATCACTGATAAGATTTCTAATGCACATTATTTAAGTACTACATTTTAGCACTGGCCAACCATAAAAAAAAAAAATTCCATGTGTCTGAACTCTGGGACAGCACTAAACACTGTAATTGTAAAAAAGAAACCAACAAAAACTTTGCCGGTTCAATAAGTTGAAAATTACAAGTTGTTCTAATTTGCATTTTTCTTTTTTAGTGTGGCTTTATGTGAGGTTGGACATTTTTTCCTTGTTTTCTATTTATTTTTACACAGGCTTTCTACATTCTTTGCTTATCTTTAATGGTAGGACATTCACCTTTTACACATGTAATAGATAAGTGACCCTTGAACAACACAGGGGTCAGGGGCTCCAACCCCCTCCAAAGCTGAAAATCGGCGTTTGACTTTTGACTCCCCCCAAACTCAACTACTAATAGCCTATACTTTGTGTGTTCTATGTATCATATACTGTATTCTTATAATAAAGTGAGCTAGAGAAAAGAAAACGTTAATAAGAAAATCATGAGGAAGAGAAAACACATTGCTCTATTTTTTAGAGCATACACAGACCCATGCAGTTCAGGAGTCAGCTGTACCTTCCTTTTGTGTTCAGGGTGTTAACTTTTTGTCCACGTGCTATAAACACCTTTCCCACTCTGAGAGTATTTTCCTTTGAATTTCATCCATGGTGCCCCTGCTTCTTAGAGAGAGACTCCAATCTTGGATATCCTGAGTAGTAAGTCTTTGTGATTGATGAGCCTCTTGGAAGACACCTGAGTTCACGTCAGAAGGTGAGGTGACTCAGGAGGGGGCTGGTCACCAGAAGAGCAAGCATGTAATCGGGGGGCCGGTGTCAGGGGAGTGCCCAGCCAGCCTGACTTCCAGAAAGGGGATCAGGGCTCGAGATTCAGTTCAGTCATGTGGCCATTGATTGGATCAATCACACCTAGGTAGTAAAACCCCAATAAAGACTCTTGACGACAAAGCTGAGAGGATGAACACGTCTATGCATCGAGAGGATGACACGAAGTGTCCTCGTCGATGAGCAGGGAAGGGCGGCCCCATGTCCAGAGACCTCCTGGCCCTTGTCCTGTGTGTCTCTTCACTGGAATGGTCCTGACATACATCCTTTAAGTAAAACTGTCTTTGTGATTATAGCACTTTCCTAAGTTCTGTGGGCCATTCTAGCAAATGATCTAATAGAAATGACATACCAGAAAGGGTCATGGGAATCCCCAGAATTGTAGCCAGTTGGCCAGAAGTGCAGGTGGCCTGGAAAACCCCCAAACTTGCATCTGGCATCTCGGTAAGAGCAGTCTCATTGGCAGCTGCGCTCTCGCCCTGGTGGGTTGTGTGGTGACCCCAGTGGGCAGCGTTGAAAGCATGGCACAAGACACTCAGCTGGGGTAAAAATTTTCATCCTAGTCCTGACCCTGAGCAGAGCTACCCTGACAAGAATCACCCCCACTTTGCACACTCCCATTGTGCCAGGTCTCTGGGCATCCAGCCAGCCAAGCAGAAGCCATACCTCATCCCTCCCCACCAAGCCCTGCTCCTCCCCTTTCCCCTCCATCCAAGCTATCTGTTTCTCATTCCAGAGTCTAGGCTCCTGCCACGTGCCAGACTAAACGTCTTCTTTTGCCCTGGCTTGCACATTCTTCAGGTCTCGGCCAACTGGGCACTGGCTCCAGGAACCATTCCCTGCCCAGCTCTGCCTTCCCCACCTCTCCCCACCCTGCTATGCAGTGTGTCCAGCTGGCCCAGGGGTGGCACTTATGGTGTGAACATCGAGAGCACCCTCCATGGGAGGACATGGCCCATCTAATAACAGAGATTGAAATACCAGTTCAAAGGGGCTGATGTGCTTATCAGTCTTGTCCTGTTCCAGGCCACGTGACCTTCATGTTGTCATTGAAACCTCCCTTCACCTCCAGAGGTGGTCCCACTATTACCCCCATAGACAGATGAGGAAGTACATGCTGAGAGAGGGTAAGCACCTCACCCCAGTCACACAGTAGCCATTGGCGTAGCCGGAGGTCAAGTCCAGGGCCAGCAGGCCCAGCCTCCAACCTCCCCCCACTATTCTCTTAAATGTGCTGTTGTTCCCAGCAGCAAGCACAGACCCAGCTGGTCCAAGTTGCCATGCAGATTTACCATAGTCTGTCACGTAAAAATAGGTGGTTTCCGTCCAGGAGCCATTGCCCGCCAGGGAGGTGGCCCGTACTCGCACACTGTAATTCCCCGGCAGCAGCCCACGCAGCCTGCAGCCCCGCTCCAGAGCAAAATTCCTGCGGGAGACACACTGGTGCAGCTCCTAGAAGACAGGAGGAGAGAGGGGTGTGGGCGACTGTGCTTCATGCGCTCAGGTGTGTGTGGCCTGGGTAAGACTGTCACAGACGGGGTCTGCTCAGAAATGATGCACAAGGAGTTCCCATGGTCAGTGATAACCTGTCTTCCTTGACCAGAGCCAGCCATCTGGCCTGGGTTACCTCATTTAACCCTTGAGGCCCCACAGCTTAGTCTCTCCTCAGAGGTGGAGAAAGGGAGGCTCTGGACAGAGTCGGTGAACTTCTGCTGTAAAGGGCCAGGCAGTAAATATTTTCAGCTTCCAGGGGACAGGTGGTCATTGTCACCAACTCAACCTTGCCGTCAAAAGTAGCAAAAGCAGTCAGAAACCAACCTCCAATTTGTAACATCTGTAAACAAACAGGCATGGCTGTGCATCCATGGATGGACACGGTGGGGGTGGAACACTGAACTTCACATCACTGACCTGTACCTGCAATGCTCTTCTTCCCATGCTTTCCCAACCATGCTGAAATGCAGAAGCAGTTCTGAGCCCACGGGCTGTAAGAACTCGGGCACACTTGAGGCCGAGGCAGGGAAATGATGCGTGGTAAGTGCAGGGCCAGCCCTTCAGCCCCGACTGTCTGCCTCCAAAATTTCTTGCAACCACTGCGGGATGTTTCCACCCAGCCTCCAGAAAGTCCCAGAAGGGCAGGAAAGAAGGGACCCACATCACCTAAATCACATATCAGGCCTTTACCTTACACCTGCTGGCCTCTATCTCATTAGAACCAAATGGATACATGGGCTTAATGTCTAAAGAATAAATTTAAATTCCCCTCCCTCCCTCCCTTCCCTTTGCTACCTTTCTTCTACTGCCACTTAAAACACTGGGGACCTACCTACATTCTGATAAAAGAGAGAAGATAAGCATACACACCCCAGCAATAAACACACGTATAGAGGTAAACCCAGAGCTTATAAGGAAAGGTGTGATGTGCTCAGGGCCAAATTGTGAAAACCTTCCAACATAACTTCAGGCTCATAGTGCAGGCAAAGAACTAACCTGGAGAGTCTTCGGGGCAGAGAAAGAAATGCAAAGATTCCCGTGTTCATCATGTGACAAGAGCAGCCAGAAAACAGATCAGACTGTGAGCTCCAGTCCAAAGGTTCTTCCAAGAAGGATGAGTCACCAAGCAGAAAGGGACAAATAAGCAAACATAGAAACCAAAGGCAGCAGCTCTCCAGGACAAAGGGGACACATACCCTCCAACCTCAGTCACTCGCCCGATGCCTGGGGTGTGGATGAGAAGGGAGCGTGACAAAAGGAACTACAGCAGGGGTGTCACACTCATTTCACCGGGGGCCACATCAGCCTCGCAGTTCCCTTCAAAGGGCCAAATGTAATTTCAACTCCTTAACAGTTAAGGAGTAGTTACAATTATACAGTCCTAAAATTATATTTGGCCCTTTGAAGGCAGCCACGAGGCTGATGTGGCCCTTGGTGAAAATGAGTTTGACACCCCTGAACTAGAACCTGACACAGCTTCCTCCACAGACACAAAAAGGTTTTTGTAAAAGCTGGCAAGAATTGTGTGCCTTGGCTGGTATGGCTCAGTGGATTGAGTGCTGGTCTGCAGACCAAAGGGTCATGGTTTCAATTCCCAGTCAGGGCACATGCCTGGACTGCAGGCCAGGTCCCCAGTAGGGGGCGCACAATGACCTGCACATATACTGCTTACAAGAGACCCACCTCAGAACCAAAGACCCACACAGAATGAAAGTGAAGAATTGAAAAAAAATATCCCAAGCAAAGGGACAGAAAAAAAAAAGCTGGGGTAGCAATACTCATATCAGGCAAAATAGACTTCAAAACAAAAGCCATAAAAAGAGACACAGAAGGACGCTTCATAATACTCAAGGGAAGAATTCACCAAAAAGACATAAACATTGTAAATGTATATACACCCAACATAGGAGCACCCAAAATATTAAGTAATCTTGGAGGACTTCAAGAAAGATATAAACAGCAACACATTTATAGTAGGGGATTTTAACACCACACTGTCAACAATGGATAGATCTTTCAAACAAAATATCAACAAGGATATAAAGCTCTGAACCATGCCCTAGAACAAATGGACCTAATTGATACATGTTGAGCCTTTCATCACAAAGAAGCAAAATACACATTCTTTTCAAATGCACATGAAACATTTTCAAAGATAGACCATATGATAGGACACAAAACAAGCCTCACCAAATTCAAGAAAATTGAAATCACATCAAGCATTTTCTTGGACCACAAGGGCCTAAAATTAGAAATCAACTGCAAGGCTAAAACTCAAAAGCATTCAAATTGATGTAGACTGAACTGTATGCTATTAAATGATGAATGGGTTAATAATGAGATCAAGGAAAAATAAAAAAATTTCTGGAAACAAATGAAAATGAACACACAACAGTCCAAAATCTATGAGACACAGCGAAGGCAGTCCTGAGAGGAAAGTGCATAGCATTACAAGTCTACCTAAAAAAGATAGAAATATTTCAAATAAGCAACCTAACCCTACAGCTACAAGAACTGAAGAACAACAACAAACAAAGCCCAGAGCTAGTAGAAAGAAGGAAATAATATGAAGAGCAGAATTAAACAACAGAGAAACTAAAAGAACAATTCAAAGGATCAATAAATCCAGGAGCTGATTCTTTGAAAAGATAAACAAAACTGACAAGCCTTTATCCAGACTCATTAAGAAAAAAAGAGAAGACCAAATAAACACGATCAGAAACAAAAGAGGAAAAATTACAACTGATACAACAGAAATACAAAGTACTATAAGAAATTACCACAAACAACTATATGCCAAGAAATTTGAAAACCTGGATTCAATGGACAACTCCTAGAAACATAAGCTTCCAAGACTGAACCAAGAAGAAGTAGAAAGCCTGAAGACTGATAACAGCTAAGTGAATTTGAAGCAGTAATCAAAAAACTCCTGGCACACCAAAGCCCTGGGCCACACAGCTTCATAGGAGAATTTTACATTTAAGAAAGAGTGAACCCCAATCCTTCTCCAACTATTCAACAAAATCCCAAAAGAGGGAAGACCCCCATACTCTTTTTATGAGGCCAGTATCTTCCTAATCCCCAAACCAGATAAAGATACAACAAAGAAAGAAAACTTCAGGCCAGTATCACTGATGAACATAAATGTAAAAATCCTCAACAAACTATGGGCATATCACATCCAACAATACATTAGAAAAATCATACACCATGATCAAGTAGGATTCATCCCAGGAATGCAAGGATGGTACAATATTTGCAAATCAATAAATGTAATACATCACATAAACAAAAGGAAAGACAAATCACATGATCACATCGAGAGATGCAGAAAAAGCATTTGATAAGGTACAGCACCCAGTTTTAAAAAAAAAAACCCTCAGCAAAGTGGAAGTAGAGGGAGCATTCCTCAACATAGTAAAGGCCATATATAAGAATCCTACAGCCAAAGTCATACTCAATGGGCAAAAACTAAAAGCTTTTGCATTAAGATCAGGAACAAGACAAGGGTGTCTGCTTTTACCACTGTTATTTAACATAACATTGGAAGTTCTAGCCACAGTAATCAGACAAGAAGAAGAAATAAAAGACATCCAAATTGGAAAGGCAGAAGTAAAACTGTCATTGTTTGCAGACAACATGATAGTGTATGTAGAAAACCCTATAGATTCCACCAAAGACTATTCAACCTAATAAGTGAATATGACTAAACAATAGGATACAAAGTCAACATCCAGAAATCAAAGGCATTTTTGTATATAACAACAAGATATCAGAAACAAAACTTAGGGGGAAAAATCCCATTTGTTAGAGCAACAAGAAAAATAAAGTACCTAGGAATAAATCTAACCAAGGAAGTAAAAGACCTGTACTCAGAAAACTACACAACACTGAAGAGAGAAACTAAGGAAGACACAAACAAATGAAAGCATGCGCCATGTTCATGAATTGGAAGAATTAACATCATCAAAATGTCCATTCTACCCAAACTAACATACAGATTCAACACAATTCCTATTAAAATACCAATGACATATTTTACAGATATAGAGTGAGCATTTCAAAAATTTATATGGAACTATAAACGATCCCAAATAGCTGCAGCAATTTTGAGAAAGAAGAACAAAGTAGGAAGGATCACAATACCTGACATCAAACTATATTACAAGGCCACTGTTATCAAAACAGCCTGGTACTGGCATGAGAATAGACATGTGGATCAATGGAACAGAATAGAGAGCCCAGAAATAAACCCTTGTCTCTATGGTAAATTAATAATTGACAAACGGGACAAGAACATAAGATGGAATAGAAATAGCCTCTTTAACAAATGGTGTTGGGAGATCTGGACAGCTACATGTAAAAAAATCAAACTCGACCACCAACTTACACCATATACAAAAATAAACTCAAGATGAATAAAAGACTGAAATGTTAAGTTTTGACACCATAAGCATCCTAGAGGAGAACACAGACAGGAAAATTTCAGATATTCCACACAGCAATACTTTCACCGACATGTCCCCTAGAGCAAAGGATATAAAGGAAAGAATAAACAAATGGGACTACATCAAATAAAAAGTTTCTGCACAATTAAAGAGAACAACAGCAAAATCAAAAGGGAAACATCCGTATGGGAAAATATATTTGCCAATGATACCTCAGACAAAGGTTTGATTTCCAAAATATATAAAGAACTCATGCAACTCCAGACCAGGAAGACAAACAATCCAATTTAAAAAAGGGCAAAGGACCTTAACAGATACTTCTCCAAGGAAGACACACAGGGCCCAGAGACATATGAAAGGATGCTCAGCATCACTGGCCATAAGAGAGATGAAAATTAAAACCACAATGAGATACCACTCCACACTGATAAGAATGGCCATCATAAACAAATCAACAAACAAGTGCTGGCAAGGCTGTGGAGAAAATGGAACCCTAGTACACTGTTAGTG